AGATTTTAGTTTTCTCTAAAACATTTGTTAGTCATCACTCTAGTTAAGTATCTTATGGGAAACAAACATCAGTATTTTGTAAATTAGTTGCCGTCTTATACTTTTACCAAGTTAGTAATAAATATTTTATATTTAAATATATACTGATTGATTTATTGATTTATTGATTGATTGATTGATTGATTATGTGTCATCAAGTTGTTGTCAACTTTTAGTGGCCACATAGATAAATTTTCTACATGACAATCTGTCCCTAACCTGGACTTTCAGGTCTTCCAACAGTGCACTCATTGCCAACGTAACTGGATCCATCCACCTTACTGCTGGTTGTCCTCTTCTTCTCTTTCCTTCCACCCTTCCCAGCATTAGAGCCTTCTCCACAGAGCTAAGTCTTGCATAATGTGCCCAAAGTAGGATAATATGAGCCTGGTCATTTGTGCCTCTAGTGAGAATTCTGGGTTGATTTGTTTAATGATCATATATAACAATATAATTTTATTGTTTATCCTTTTAATATTATCTTCCAGTAATAATTTGTATTTTAAAACAATAAATTAAAATGTTATTTGAACAGAATTTTGAAAACCAGGTTGTAGATACATTTTGCCAGCTGATAAAAAGGTAAAATTTCCCTTGAGTCAGGGAGTCTTGATTCTTAGTCACTACATGGAATGTCCATGTTGTTTTCCTGGTAGCAATAGAAATAGTCTGTCGTTACTATCTTCTGGTGGTGATGGTTGTTGTTGTTTTAATTCCCCACGTATACAGCCCTGGGATTTTCTGGTTGCCTTCCATCCAAGTAGTAATCAGGTCTGATCCCACTTCACATTCAGATTGCCCAGGTCAGCTAGGTACTGCCATTTGATATAACTGAAATAGAGATTTTGCAGTGTAAATATGTTGAGGTGGCCAGATTTTATTTGGCAACATGCTCACTGTAAGATAAACTTGATTTATTATGTTAAAAATAATTGTTTGAACAAACAAGAATGAGATCAGGTTTTTAATATGCTTTTTAATTCTTAACTGATTGGCATGGTTTACAGTATGCTAAGAATAGGCTAGTTGTCTACAACATTACATTTTATAATGCATCATTACAACTAATTCAGCTATACTAAAATATGTTACCTTGAGAAAATTCATTAATCAATTAGTATATTTAATTGCATTAGAGCAAAAGCAAATTTAATAATATTAGAGCAAAAGCAATGACTATGTTGTAGATTTTGTTTTCTTTCATAAACTGAACAAGGAATAAAATTAATATGTTAATGATGATAAATGCCACAGTTACAGATACAATCATACTAAATATTAATTTGCAACAAGTGACTATTTCTACAAAATGCTACATAGTGATCACTTTTTATTATCTTCCTAAGGCAAAGTAGCTATCTTTGAAAAGATAGTATGGTAATAGCAAACAGAATATCTCTCTTCCTTTATTCATAACTCACAGACAGAATTAATGTTTATTAAAGGATTGACTTCTCAATGGTTTGTTTTGAATCTTTGTAGGACAGATGTTCATTATACTGTATGTGACTGCATGCTCTGAAGTATGCTTTAATGTTTCTACTCCAGTTTCCTTCTGCCAGCTATTTAATCTCCTTTTCATATTGGTAAATAGTCATGAAATAGCTTTCATTTCGTATCTTGTATGTCATTACTTCTGTGCAAGTTGCCATATTTGGCCATTTTAAGGGATCTTTATGCTGTCCTCCCACCAGTCTGCAACAATTCCAGACCAACAGGGTTTATGAGTGGTATACTACTTCTTGGCTACAGACCACAATCAAAGGATCTATAAGTTAGTTCTGTGAACCTTAGGACATGGAGAATTGTCTGTCTGTCTGTCTGTCTATCACACACATACTCTAAGAGTCAGATAGTACAGAATTAGATAATGTCTGTCCCTCCTTTATGAACAATTTCTTCCCTCTTCTAGTACAAGTGCAGAAATTACCATGTATTTGTAAGGTTGACAAAACATCTGCCCTATATCTGGAACCTGGAGCTATCCAGAATTAAAACTCCCAGCAACTGCTAAATGGCTATTATGAGGGATGCAGAGAGTTGCAAGGCAGTAAAAAGAAGAAACATTGGATCTACCCCACTGATGTAAAGTAAAGAAAAGTTGTGAAAGGGAGGGTTACGATCATATAGAACTACTCTGAAACCATTCAACTGGTACCATGATTGAATTTAATACTTAACGTAATTATTTATATGATTTATAAACAATGTGTAATTGATAATCAATGAGTTTATCCATTTGCATTCAAGACGGGTTTATACTTTATAGTTCTTAAATATAATTGCCCATTGTATGTAAACCTGTCCATTCCATGAGATGTAATCGTTTAATGCAATGTTATTTTTCATTCTGCAAGGACAGATACTTCAATCTATTTCATGAGGTAGGATCCCAAGTATACCCTTTTAATGCCACTCTTAGAGAATGTAGCAAGTAGATGGCATGCTTGTCTAATAGGGGTAGCTCTAGTCTTCCATACTGTGAAGTTGATATTACCTTCTTTTTGCAATAAAAACATTTTCCCTAGTCACACCTGCCATTGTGTTTATTGCCTTTATGTCTTTCTCTTTCTATGTGTGTGCATATACATACAAGCACACATACATATATACATACATACATGCCATAATAAATGTTCCTACAGTTCAGAAACTGAAAAAAAAATCTTCTTGAGTGTAATATTTCTTATGAGAATATTCTTCTGGCACAAATCCATCCAAAGATGTCATCAAAATGGAAGCAGTCACTGAGCATATATTTGATTTATTCTGGTAGTTGTTTCATAGCTTGTAAATCCTTCCCCCACCCCTTTTTGTTTTGTTTTCCACTTTCTTCAGTTAAGGCAGAATTTTTTTCCCATAAAATAATTTGAGATATTTTCTTGTCATTGAAGAAAAAAGTGCTATTAAGCAAAGTTGTTCCATGACATGATTTTTTTCCCATGTAATAGACCTTTTACTTAAGGGTTATGAATTATATACCATGTTATATAAAAAGCTTAGAAGAAAACCTGGGGAAAGAGGGTTTTAATTAACATGTGTATTTAAACTAGAAGGATTCTATGAAGCTTGGTCTCCTTTACATACATGATTTGTATAACTGTTAGAAAGGAAAATATTTTTCTAGAATTATGTAATGTCTTGAACAATTAATGTACAAAATTGTGGGGTTTCATGCATATTTTAAATGAGAAGTTGATTGACTGATTATGTGCCATCAAGTCAGTGTTGACTCTTAGCAACCACACAGATTTTCTCCATGAAAGTGAGAAAATGTGCATGACTAATTAGACTGTATATACTTTCTGACATGTCAATAGTGACTTATTTGAAGGTTTAAAAAAAAATAGTAATAGCAATCACATTTTATCTCAAAGGCTGTGAATTAAGTTTAAAGGAATTAGATTATATTTGAATTTTAGAATGAAGCTGAAGAGTTGTGACGTGACAGCACAACACTTCTATCATCTCATTAGGAACATAGGAAATTGCTTTCAACCAGTCAAACTATTTGTGATTATTCTTCATTCCTGATGACTTATGCAAAGACTATAGCTTGCCACTCAGTTAACTGAAACATTTTAATTGTATGGGTTATAATTAATGTAAGTGAAAACAAACCAAAAGTTGGAAGAAAAATCATTTAATGTTAATGATAGATATGTTTCTCAGTAAGCATCATCTTAAAAGAGCGAAGAGGGAATGCAAATTGTTAAGTGGGTGCTGCTTTACAGCTTTTAATAAATGAATATATTAAAAATAAATGACAGGTCTCCCGGTCTTGGAGACTCCTGATATTTAGGTAGATCAACAGGAGAGCCCCTTCTCAAGATGGAAGCTTGACTTATTGGGTACCCGGAGAGCCACAGAGATGACCTTTGAGAAAACTATGCTAAAATGGTTACAAAAACAAAAACATGCTATATGCCCGGGAAACAGAGAAAGCATAAGAAAGAAGCTCAGATTGGCTCTACTCCAATTCACAGGGGTATAAGAAGGAAAGAAGATAAAATATACTCAGGCTTTCAAGATTCTGTTACTATAGCCTATACAGTTCCAGTCAAACTGATGGAATCTGTTTCTTGAACTGGCCTACCTTGAAGGGCTGACAACAGGAAAGGACTTTCTTCTCTGTGGCTCCCAGCCTTTGGAACGCACTCCCTCAGGAGATCTGTTTAGCTCTCATTCTCAGTATTTAGGGAAAGGATAACATTGCATCTCTTGCCAAACCTGTAATTGTTAACTACTTCAATAACTGATTTTAATTTTAATTTTTATTTTATTTGCATTTTTTAAACTTTTGTACTTTATGTTTTAGTCATTGTAAGCCATCTTGAATGGTGGAATATAAATAAATATGGAGTATAAATGCAATAATAATAAAATAAAAATAAGTTTAAGTCAAATGTTTTAATCAAAGTATTCAATCAGTTAAAACCTAGCATTAGGTTATATTAAATGACACAACAAGGTGTTCATTTCACGATAGTATACTCCAAACTTGTCATTTAATAAAGCTTTTAATTTTTATTTTCAATTGACAAAAGACAGAAGTAATTGTTCCTATTATAATCCAGAATATAAATAAAATATTTCTATTTTGATACAGCTATTAGCTAAAAGTAAATTCATTTTAAATTTGAACATATTGTACAAGCCAGATATTAGTTATTTAGATATCTCTGATTGCTTCCTGGTTTGAAATATAGAACCATCTACTAATAAAGACCTTTATAATGGCTTGTATTTAGTTTTTGTTCTAATTTCATAGTAATTAAAGATAATCAAGGAAGCTGTCTTTATTAACATTTCAGTATTATATTACATGTTATATCTATATCTATCATAAAGTTAGAATAATAGTTGATACTCAGAAACATAATTCATGTTGGTTGTATCTAACAGTTATATAGATAATTATTGCTATGAGTTAACTTGTTATCTTTATTTATTTATTCTAGATGCCCTACAAACTGGTCAGGTACACAGTGTGAAAGGCCAGCTCCTAAAAGCAGCAAATCTGATAATATCAGTACAAGTAAGTTGTTTTTAGTTAATATACAGTAACAGCATTTAAGCTATTATTTTTATTGTATATATTTATAACTGTGGAGCTCATTGTCCTTTCAGTTTCTCCACATACGCAGAACATGGGGAGAAAGGAAAGGAAGGGTAATAAAGGCTCAATATTGAGCAAATAGATTTGCATAGGCTTAGTTTCAGTTGGTGGGTGAGGACTATACAGTTTAACCAAAATAGAGAACATCATGGGAAAAATAGACTCTGAAGTGTCATTTAAGGAAGAAAAAGAATACCATGCAATTGCAATGCAAGATAATTATTCAATAATAAATAAGAATGATATCTGTAGATCTGGAGAAGCAAAGATGGCAACTTTGAATATAATTGGAAATGAGGATATACACCCAAGAGAGATTGTGGTCATATAGAAGAATTATGATGGGTTGAATTTATATCCAGTTAGTCAAACTTGATCCCTCTGAATCAATATGCATTAAATTATGACTAACTCATCCTCATGACTTCAGTGGGACCTAAATTCAGCAATCTAAAATACCTGGTAATAAATTACATATAAAACAAGCATATATAATTTGAGTTAGCTCCACAGATAACTTTCAGATCAGTAAAGGATGAGCCTGGTGGCTTCAATCCAGCAAACTGCTAAAAAAGAGAGAGAGAATGAGAATGATGTATAGAGTGAGAGAGGTGTGACCCATTCAAATATGTTCAGATAGTTAATGAACTTTTGTGTAGTTTCAACTATCAAAGCAAATATGTTTTGGAGGGCATGGGAGTGCTCATGTAGCACCTATCTGTAGCTTCTTAAACTGAGACATCTTTTCCTGGGACAGCACTGATACTGGGAAGAGATGTGTTTAAGTAATTGCAAATAGATATTATGTGAGTGTCCTTGCATCTTCTGAAGCATCTTTTTGCCTATGAATTCAAAGTGCTGCACTACCCAGTTTATTAACTTTCAAGGGCCAATTAAGAATTATTTCAGATTATAAATCAAAATATATTCTATGCTTGACATATGGGATATTTTGTTGTCTATCTATGTTGTGTTAAAACTGATGTAGTGCTCTGCTGTGATAAACTGGTGAAACAGAAATAGAAGATTAATTGACAGACAGATTCCTTGACAGACATAGGGAAATTAGAAGATTGTCAGATAGCAATGAAATAGACACAATGAAGTTGATTTATTCAGTACTTATTTTACTGAAATGGGCCTTGAGGTGATATTTAGAAATAGCAAGCAAGCAAATTATGGCTACAGTGGAATAAGGTAATGTACAGTAATATATTGAAACCTGGTATGTCATACAACTCTTCAGATAATGTACAGAATTTAATTCTATTATCCCATCTATTTGTTAACACTTGATCTAATTTGTATTAAAATGTATGTTTGTTGAAGTATTTTTCAAAGTTAGCTTCCCAAGTGTTAGCTTCGCAGTAAACAGAGTGTTTCTATTATTTGTTGTAGGAAGTATTGCAATCATTGTTCCTCTTGTCCTCTTGGTGACCTTGATTACTACTTTGGTAATAGGTTTGCTCCTCTGTAAAAGAAAACGAAGGTAAGCAGCAGCAGCATTAGTATTATTAGTATTATTATTAAGCATTTCCTAAAGTTTGTGGCCAAAAACTCTACATGGATATGGCAAAGGAGTCACCAAAAATTGGCACCCAATTTATGGAACATCATCCTCTTCAAGGTGAAATGGCTCCATCCCTGTTAATTTTCTGTAAGTCCCTCAAACTTGGTTATGTTATTAGGCCTGGGGGTCCCAAGGGAATGGTGAATTGCTGAGCTGGCTCCATTGCTGTAAATATCTGTTGCCCTCTCCTTGACTTTTTAATCATAATATTAATATTTTTTTACTTATTAACTGTTTTTATATTATTGTTTTATAGTTTTTTATTGTACACCACCCAGAGTCATGTTTTGTGAGATGGGTGACCATATAAATATGATGGATGGATGGATGGATGGAT